TGTGTTTTATGCCTCTGTGCCTTCACACCTTTGTTTGGAATACCCATCTCTCCTTCTCTGCCTGGTGAACTCCTCATCAATTAAGCTCAGCTTAATTTTCACTCCCTCTGTGAAGTCTCTTAATTTCACCAGGCAGAATTCAGCTTCATAACACTTTATAGAGACCTTTCCTAGTGTAATTCCCTGACTAGACTATGAATGAGGACAAAGACTACGTCTTATTCATCTTTGTGTTCCTGGAGTGTGAACCACAGTAGACAGTCAATAAATATTTTTTGAATAAATAAATGATGAGGCTTGTGTATCCATAGTTATATCTGCAATGCCACAAGCAGTGTCCTGAACTGGTAGTTTTAATTCCATAAATGTTTGTTTACTAGCTGTAACTTGATATCATTATTTAATCAGCCCTAAATGTGACTATCACCATCCCTAATTCCCTGTGAAGTGCCCAAATAAGTATGCAAGTGAGAGAGCTATATCTGAACGTGCGAGTTTGTGACCCAGATTCATGTCCAAGTCATCAAGAGATTCTGAACCCACATGTAACATGCAATGAAGCCATGGGTTACCTCCTGTCCTACATAGATCATACATGTAAAATCAAGATCTCCTGGGATAGGGATGAAATTCAACATATTTAACCATGGGTTTGGCATGGGCATTGATAAATCCCGCACACACAGGGAGGGAGGCTGTAAAGGGTGGTATTGCATTGCCTCTTGAATTGCTTAGTTGTGTTGCTGGGTTGTGGGGGGTCCTGAGGGAGAACTGGGATGGCTGATATAGTGATGGGGAACATTTGGAGGACTCTCAGCAGCTATTCTTTATCAACTGGGACAGAACATTTTCATTGTTTTAACAGTGAACACAGTCCTATCAGAGAATACTGGATGAATGCCAGATCTTCTTTGGGGTGGCATCTGTCTGTCTCCCCAGCCTTTAACTGTTTTCAATTTAACTTGAGCACCATAAGGGGAAAAAAAAAATAGAGAAAAAGTGTAAGCTGCAGCTGCAAGGACTGAAGCTAGATATAGGAAGGACTTCCCTTAGAGCTGAAAGCCACCAGAAGCTAAGAAGCAAGATTCTTTTCTCCTAGTCTCTGGAGAGAGATCTATTTGGCCTGGGACTTGGATTGTGTGTTGGAGGCAAAGGGATGAATGAGTGACTTCTGGGGCTGCTTACTAACCTGACACAGAGTTGTTGTGGGTGCTGTGGGGACAGATCTGATATCCTACACACATGTCCTGGTCTGTCCAGGGTATGTGGCTGTCATGTGGTTGGGGTGCCTTGCCTGGAAGAAAGGAGGACAGAGGGCACCTGGGGTCCCCTTTAAAGGAGGTGAATAATTTCCCTGCAGGGTGCCCCCCCCAACTCCCCTCACACTGACAACAAACCTGGCCAAGAAAGAGGCCTTTGTCCTAGGACATCTGAAGCTGCAGGGGGAGGGAAAAGGCTACAGGTGAAAGGACACATCAAAGCAGCCGGCTGCCTCTCCCCAAAATCGCTCCCCTACCCCTTTCCTAGAACCCAGGTTTTCCTTAAATAAAAGCAGTGCCCTAAATGCCCGCCTGCCTTAACAGCTGGAACACTAGAGACCTGGTCCTTTTCTTCAGCTGCCTTCCACCTTGCTATGACTCAGTTTCCCTATCTCTAAGAGAGTCAAGAGAGCAGAGGCAAGAAGGTTATAACTTGTATAAAGTTTAGACGTGGCTTTGGAATGGACCATCAGCTGGAATTCATCATCTGCATAGGGGAAACACAGACCTGGCTGGACTCCTGGGCTTAAAAGGAGGGTTGGGAGAGGCTTGGAGCCATGTGTGCCCCTGCTGGCTGGGATCAGGGTGGGGGTGGGGTGTGGGCAGAAACCACACGGGGCTCAAGTTTCCTCTCTTGGCCAGAAGGGGCAGGAGCAGAGGAGGGCCACAGGGAAAGGGGAGGGTTGGAGGAAGGACTGAGAACTCAGGCTGAGGGCTTCAGTGAGGAGGCTGGTGCACCGCCCCAAAGCTCCCTATGCTCAGTCTGAGCCTCTACAGTCAGCACTAGCAATGGCCAGGGGGCGGGGCACAGACCTCTCAGGTTCTCAGAGGTAGCAGGGATCCTCACTCAGGAGGTGTCAGCCCAGGCCCAGCCTCCCCAGAGACAGCACCCGGAGCCTCATCTCTCTCTGCATCCTGCTTGGACCCTACCACAGGTGCTTGAGGGACGGTGTGGGAGGGGGATTGTAGTGGGATCCAGGGACAGGCTGGGGAGATGGAGGAGGCAGAAGGAAAAAATATCCAGCTTTCAGCATGTTCTTAAGAGATCTCAGACCTTCCCAGCCTGCTCCTGGTTTAGGACTTTGACATCTTTGGGAATTCCTCTGAGAGAAGACCTAAATGTCTTCTGGGGTGTTCTGGGATTCTTGGGGTAAAAGGCTGTGGATGGATTCCAGAGAGTGGTTTCGTGAGGCACCTCTGAGGGGCTGGGGAATGACCCTGAGTAACCCTTCAGCAGGCTAGCTGCCCTGGGGCAGATAGTAGGCTCTCAGGTGTATAGTACCACCCTTTCTCCTTTCCATTTCATCATGCTGCCCTGTCCAGCCAGCTGGGGAAGTATGGTGGCAGCTGAGGAATTGGAGACACTGGATGTCTGGATCACTGAGAATTGTTGTAGCAAGATGCCGTGGTGGGAGTAGGGGGTAATAGTTCCTGCATCCCTTTGCCCCTTCTCTTCTTTGGGCAATAGAGATCAGCTGCAACTGGACGAGGGAGAGGAAGGCATCCCATTCCCCCTGTAGTTCCTTCCAACTGGAAATCTTAGCAGCAGGAAGGGAGTGGGCAAGGGAGCAGTGGAAGAGAAGAGCAGCTGGGGCTGGGACTCTTTAGTCATTGGCCTCCAAAGGTCTGCAGTTTGGGGTCTAGGAACTGAGTGATAGAATGGCAGAAACTTGTCCCTCTCTCCCTTGTTCCCATACATTTGTTTGAGTTCTGTATGTCCCCAGGAGATTGAATCTCACTCTGATCAACTCAATTTCTCCCTTTCCTCCATTTCCTTTGTTTCTCTCTCATCTCTGTGTCCCTCTCCCTCTTCAGGGATTCTTCCTAATCTTTCTAAGTAGCTTGCTCACCATCCTCTCCACATCCCAAGTTTCACTGATCTCTTTTCATTCTTTCATTGCTTCTGTTGACACATGGACAGGTGGCGTGGTCTAATAAACTTCAGAACAGGGTCCCAGAGGCAAGTGCCACCTCCCCTTTGTCAAGGCAGTTAGAGCCCTGGGGCAACATTTGAGGCCAAATGTCTTCCTCTGCCTAGCATCCCTCCCTAAATTGTCCTCATCCTGTATCCTTAAACAAAAAGCCCCATGTCAGCCCTGGCCAGTTTTGCTCAGGGGTTAGAGCTTCGGCCTGCGGTCCAGAGAGACCCGGGTTCGGTTCCTGCTCAGGGCACGTACCTCGGTTGCAGTTTGTTCCCGGCCCTGGTTGGGTCTTGTGGGTGGCAGCCACTTGATGTGTCCCTTTCACGTCGATGTTTCTCTCTCTCTCTCTCCCCCCCCTCCCACTCTATCTGAACAAAATATCGAAAAAATGTCCTCGAGTGAGGATAAAAAAAAAAAGCCCCATGTCATTCTGTGAGTACTCAGGGATTGTGATAAGGTCTTTCTGGGTAGGACCATCAGGGTGAGAATAAAGAGGGTAGATTATAGTTCCTGGAGATGGCGCCAGTCCTACCTGATACACTATGTTGGGGAGTAAGATGGCTGTGTGACCGCAAAGTGTGGGCTAAACTGGGAAGTGGGAACTGATTATTCTAAAAGAAAGGGGACACAGGGAGTCCTGCTCCACTTTCCCAGTATCTCTCTAGTTTCTGCACCTTCTGCAATGTTTCTTTGGATCCAATTCTGACTATATTCTCTTCCTTGATTTATACCACTGGCTGCCAACACCCTGGCTGGTACTCTGGAAGGTAGCCTCCTAAGACTCAGAGGGGCCTATGCCTGGTATACAGACCTATATAGACCACCACCCATCTTTGAGTGTCTAGGGAAAAGCATACTCCTCCCCTTTGGCCTAGTGCAAACTTGCCACTGTATCAGAAAGCTGGTTGGAACTGTTCCAAAGGTTCTCTTTAAATCCCCCTTCCTCAACTTCTTGCCTCCCTCTACTGCCCTTGTGGACTCTCATTTCCCTGTCCTAGGGTGAGGGGGAGATTGAGTTTCTGGTCTTCATAAGAAGGGGTGGATATCTAGTCTCAGCTACTGGGGCAGTCAGAATCCAGTGTTGCCTGGGTCGATGATTTGAAGCTAAGAGAATCCTAGAGATCACTTGCTGGGCTCCTTTCTGGCTTTGTGTTTATTTCCTGTAAATCCATATGGTTGGACTAGTACAGTATTTCTCAAGGCTGAATGGGCCTCTGGTATCAGAAACACCAGGACACCTGTTAAAATGCTGATTGCCAGGTACCCGCACCTACTAATTCAATTCAGTAGGCCTGGGGTGCATTCAGGTACTTGTTCTTACACGTACCCCTGGTGAATGTGGTGCACAATAAAGTTTGAGACTGCCTGAGCTAGACATAGTCTACTGCCTCTCACAGCAAGGAGGTTCTTCAGTCCTGTTTCCATTAAAAGGAAGAGACTGAATGTGAAACAATTTGCCCAAGGTCATGCATCTGGGAGGCCAGAAAAACTTTCTTCTGCCTCCTGGGGCAGGATCTTTGTACTGCACCTAAGAGTCAGATCCAGGAAGATATAAGGGGGGGGGCAAAGGGTGGGGGTAGGTATGTGTGTGAAGGACTGTGAGGCAAGAGCCATTGTCCCTGCCCCATAAACCCCTTCTCCATTCACTTTGCCTTTGGGCAATTTCCTCCAGAACCTGGGTGGGGGAGGGTGGATTTCCGGTGTTGAAATGGCATCCTGGACAGACATAAACACCCCACCCACTCTGCCCACTGGCCAAGGGCCTGTGCCTACACCAACTCTCACCTCGGGATGGCAATAGAACAAGGGGGTAGGTGCAGTGGCTAGGGGAGATCCTCTTTCAAAAAGATAATTAGCATTTCTCACTAGTTATGTTGTGAGGCTCAAAGAGTAGACTCCATATCAAATAGCTGTGATAGGCCATCCTTGTGGTAATCTAAGGTCATGCAATTGAGGTCATTCTGTCCTACCCTCTGTTCTATAAGTTTTCTCCACCTCTAACCTGCCTGCTTTTATTTATATGGCAGGAGTGGGGTAGTGTCTGGCTCTAAGAGATCAGGAGGTCCCTGCCAAATCTACTTAGAATCTCTCACCAAAGGCAGGAAAAACAGATGCAGGGAAGGGGGTGTCAGGGACTAGGCAGGTAGGATGAGGAGAAGGCTGACAAGAATAAGATGAAGACAGAGGTGAGGGTTTGTTGAGAAAGTTAAGCTGTCCAAGCAGAAAGGGACCTCCAAGTTCCAAGTCCAACACCCTAGTTTTATAAATGAGGAAACAGAGGCTCAGAGAAGTATGATGACTTGCCCAACATCACACTGCTACTTTGTGGCAAACCTGCAACTAGAGCCCAGGTCAAAAGAAAAGGGGCTGGAGGGTAGTGTATACTCAAGGCTCTAAAGAGATATTCCCCAGAAGAGGAGAAAAGAGACTGAGATCCCACAGAAAGAATTGATGATGCAGACCACCATTAAAGACTTGGGGTATGGAGACAGAGGAGCAGGATGGGAAGGTGCCTGGAAGGCGATAGTTAGTAGACTCAGTCAGTAGAGGTTCCTGACCTGACTCTGCTATTTACCAGCTTGGGTCTTAATTTTCTAGTGGACCTTTTAGGATCTTTGTGAAAATCAGTCTCATAAACAAATGCTCATAAAACACCAGTACACTTTTTGACAACTGCTTAATAAGTCTTTGTTACAGTTGTTATATTACCTTAGAGGAGAAAAGATCCCTGGCTATGGGTTGGGGTATGGCCCAGATGACCCCATGAAGACAGAGGGCAGAGGTCCAGTGACTCCAAAGACCATTCCTCGTCTGCTGTTTGCAGCTGATAAACCTCTTATCTGGCCCAGGCAGGGGAGTCCAGGGCCAGGATAGAAGGAGAGGGCAGGGCTGCTATCAGCCACCAGGCCTGGGCCATATCTCAGAGAAGGGGAGGGACTCTCTGCTTGGCTCTTCCCACAACACACTCCTTGGGGATTCCCAAGCACTCGTTCTCATCTTGAGAAGAAAAGACTGAGATCCTAAAACTGAGAACAGAGGAGAAAAGCAGGAGTAATCCCTGATATTGCCCCAGAAAATGGGGGGAAAAAACCCAGAAGACATAACTTCTGTCCCAGTCAGTGATACAATTTTGGGGAGAAAACAGTAGGGGAAAGAGAAGGCATCTTGTATGAAAAAAAGATAAAAACCTAATGTGCTCCCAAAGGAACTGACTACAGCCATAGCAGGTGAGATGATTATACCACAGAAAAGACTTTCTAGCTTAAGAAGTTGGTTGATGAGTCCAGCATGAGTGGGAAGGGATGAGGTCTCTCCTGCTCTCAGGTGACATTGGAAGGAGCTTCTCTATGGAGACAGGCAGGACAAAATTGCTGACCCCTAGAAGGAGAGCCCTAACCCCCATTTCTCTTTTGACACAGGTTGCTGGGGCCATTTGGGCTTTGGGGGACCCTGGACCAGGCCCTGGCCCAGTAGGATGCCCCCGTGTCCTCCCCAGCAGAGCAGGAACAGGGTGACACAGCTGCCCACTTCGGAACTGGGTGAGATGGAACTGACTTGGCAAGAGATCATGTCCATCACTGAGCTGCAGGTGAGTGGGGTGGAGGTGGGGGGAAGGGAAGAGTAGAGAAGAAGAGAGTCTAGCTGGGACTGAGGCAAGGGGCTGGAACAAGGAAGGCTCAGGGTCTCAAGCTGGAAATGTTCCAGGCACTGGAAAAGAAAGGGCTGGAGGAATAGGAGGGAGATTTGGATGTTAAACCAGAACATTAAGGGAAAGGGGTGTGGAAAAGCAGAGAACTGAAGTGGTGGGGAAGAAAGGATCTGATTGGGGGTGTAAGCTCTCTAAGCAGCCACTCTGCTCACATCTCTCTTCCCCACCTCCTGCCCCGCCTTCCTTTTCTCACCTTCTTTTCTCCTGACCTCCCGCTCCTCCAATCCTGCTCATCTTCCTTCATTTTCTCCCCCTGCCTTCAGCAGCTCGGCCCCTTTCCCTCAGGTAGCTGAGCAGTAGTTCAGGGGCCTCAGGAAGGGGGAGGGTCAGTCTATGCCGGGGTCTCTCCTCCTGGTAGTTGGACAAAGGGGTGTCTGTTGGCTTAACAATAATGTCTTTGTCCCCAGCTGGGCTACAGCAGGGTAGCTCCCCAACGTGGGTCGGGGGCCCTGTTTCTAGCATGTTCTCTCCTCCTCTCTGCACCTGGGCAGAGACAGAGGGACTGAAGAGTAGAGGATAGAGCTTGTGTGGGCTCCCCAAGGTGCCTCTTAGCCCCCAGACCTGGCTCTGCGCCTGCCCCCTTTCTCTTCTCTGATACCATGCATGGGCCCTCAGAATCTGCCCTAAGCCCTGCTCCCACACATCAGCTCCCTCTGCTGGGCACCCAGGGCACGTCCAAGACCTGAACTTGACCCTTTGACCCTAAATAAGCACAGCAGGAAAGGGTTCTGAGGGGTCATCTTGGATAACAAATCCTTGTCTTCCTGAAAGAAAGAAAGAAACATGAGCCATTTCAACCCAGTAAGAACTCCTGAGGAGGAGGAGATTCCATAATTGTTGTAATGTTAGTTCTTTCTGAAGTCTGACCTCAGTGACATCTACTCATGTTTAAGCTGCTTTCTTCTTGAAATAGCTACATTGCAACTTTACAAGCAACTTTGCTCTTGTAAAGCTAAATGACTTTTAGCACCTTTTTGTTCCTTTGTTATCTCACTGGGTCTTTCAGAGGACCCAGCTTGGTCCTGAGAGCTGGTTCTCTTCCTTGGCCTGTCTCCAACTGTCTTTATGTCTTTTCTTGCAGGGTTTAAATACACCAAGTGAGCCATCATTTGAGCCTCCAGCCCCAGCCCCATACCCTGGGCCCCCACCACCCCCATCTTACTGTCCCTGCTCAATCCATCCAGATGCTGGCTTTCCCCTTCCTCCACCAACTTATGAGCTCCCAATACCCTCAACTCATGTTCCAGACCCCCCATATTCTTATGGCAACATGGCCATCCCAGTCTCCAAGCCACTGACCCTCTCAGGCCTGCTCAGTGAGCCCCTCCCAGACCCCTTAGCCCTCCTGGATATTGGGCTGCCAGCGGGGCCACCCAAGCCCCAAGAAGACCCAGAATCCGACTCAGGATTATCCCTCAATTATAGTGATGCTGAATCTCTTGAGTTGGAGGGGACAGAGGCTGGTCGGCGGCGCAGCGAGTATGTAGAGATGTATCCGGTGGAGTACCCATATTCACTTATGCCCAACTCCTTGACCCATCCCAACTATGCCTTGCCTCCTGCTGAGACCCCCTTAGCCTTAGAGCCTTCTTCAGGTCCTGTGCGGGCCAAGCCCACTGCACGGGGGGAGGCAGGGAGTAGGGATGAACGTCGGGCCCTGGCCATGAAGATCCCCTTCCCTACGGACAAGATTGTCAACTTGCCGGTAGATGACTTTAACGAGCTGTTGGCACGGTACCCACTGACAGAAAGCCAGCTGGCACTAGTTCGGGACATTCGACGGCGGGGCAAGAATAAGGTGGCTGCCCAGAACTGTCGCAAGAGGAAGCTGGAGACCATAGTGCAACTGGAGCAGGAACTGGAACGGCTAGGAAGTGAGCGGGAGCGGCTCCTCAGGGCCCGAGGGGAGGCCGACCGGACCCTAGAGGTGATGCGTCAACAGCTGACTGAGCTGTACCGTGACATTTTCCAGCACCTGAGGGATGAGGCTGGCAACAACTATTCCCCTGAAGAGTATGCATTGCAACAGGCTGCTGATGGGGCCATATTCCTGGTGCCCCGGGGGACCAAGATGGAGGCCACAGACTGAGCTGGCCCAACAGGGTGGGCTGGTGATGGAGATTTCCTTCATTACCTTCTGATAAAGGTACTCCCTGACCCTGAGGCCTAGAAGAGGACAACAATGGAAAACCTGACTTTTGTTAGGTCCAAGGTGTGTTCACTGAGGCTCACCTTGAGACAAGTGTGTGAGGGGAAGGCTGGGTCTTTTCTATGATTCAGCTCCCCAGGTCTCCAACCTCCACCTTTTGTTTGAGCTTTGATATATAAAGCGCTCTACAGAAATAGCCATCCGCTGTGTCTTCCTTTCCAAGGGAGGGTGATGAATCGGAGCTCTCCTCAGAGCGCATTGCTTGGTGTTGGTGGGAAGGGAATTCTGCCAACCTCATTTCTTTCCCCTACAGCTCTGTATAAGAGTGGTACACACAATTTTGACTTGAGCAGTGTGTGATCTACCATCTTCATCCTCTTTTTTTAGAGCCAGGGGCCATGAATGATCTGAGGAACCCCACCTACTCTGGTGACCCCTATTTATAGAGCTGAGATTGCTGCTAAAGCTGGCTAGACCCTTGGTGCAAGGTCCCTGAGGTTTATTGAGGTTTCTCCTTTCTGAATCGGTGAAACACAGAAAAGCCTAGAAGGCCCACAGCCCTTTTTTCTATTCTCCTCCTCCTGCCTAATTCCAGAGGACTCCCTCAGCCTGGGGCCTAATGTGCCAGAGCTCTCTCAGAAGACTGAGTGAGCTACTTTTTTTTTTTTTTTTGGTACATGCCCTTAGTGGAAACTGAACCCGGGACTTTCTGGTCCACAGGCTGTCGCTCCAACCGCTAAGCCAAACCGGCCAGGGCTGAGTGAGCTACTCTTGATTGGAATGAGAGAATTTGATTGGACATCAAAGTTTCAGGGGTTTTACACCCAAGTCTGGATAAAACCTGCTCCACAGTGGAGTACCATATGCATTTTGGTGAAAAAAATGTTTTTTAATTTAACTTATTGATTTTATTTATTTTTGTTTTTGTTTTGTTTTTTTGGTACATGCCCCTAGTGGGAACTGGACCCAGGACTCTCTGGTCCGCAGGCCGACGCTCCAACCGCTGAGCCAAGCTGGCCAGGGCTTTTTATTGATTTTAGAGAAAGGGAGGGAGAGTGAAAAACATCATCAACCCACTGTTCTACCCACTCACACATTCATTGTTTGATTCCTCCAAGTGCTCTGACGGAGGATCAAGCCCGCAACCTTGGTGCACTGGGATGACACTCCAATCAACTAAGCTACCCAGCCAGGGCCTGTGAAATTTTCTATCTCCTGGTTATGTTAGACAGACACTATTCAATTCTTGTCTCCCCACCCTTTTCTAGATCCTTGAAGATCTAGGGCCTTTTGTTAGTGTGTATTCACACATAAAATTCTTTTTTTTTTTTTTTTACAAAAAGATTTTTAGTTCGGCCAGTATGGCTCAGTGGTTGAGTGTCTACCCATTCACCAAGAGGTCGCCAGTTCAATTCCCAGTCAGGGCACATGCTCAGGTTGTGGGCCAAATCCCCAGTAGGAGGTATGCAGGAGATGGCCAAGCGATGTTCTCTCTCATCGATGTTTCTCTCTCTCTCTCTCCCCCTTTCCCTCTAAAATCAATAAAGAAAAAAAATTTGTTTTAAATTTCCTTTGAAATAGTTTTTTAGAAGAAGGGAAAGGGAGAGAGAGAGAAAAAACATTAATGTGAGCAAAATGTTGATCAGCTGCCTCCTGCATGCCACTCACTAAGGATGGAGCCTGAAACCCGGACATGTGCCCTGATCTGGAAATAAACCAGCACACTTTTTGGTGCACAGGATAAATAACACCCAACCAAGCCACACCAGCCAGGACTAATTTTTTTAAAAATATAATTTTCTGGCCCTGGCCAGTGTGGCTCAGCAGTTGAGTGTCAGCCTGTGGACCAGAGAGTCCTGGGTTTGGTTCCCGCTAGGGGCACGTACCACCAAAATAACTAAATAAATAAGTGTAATTTTCTGGCCCAGTGGTTGAGTGTCGACCCACGCACCAAGAGTTTGCTGGTTCGATTCCCGGTCAGGGCACATGCCCAGGTTGTAGGACTGCTACCCAGTGGAGGGCATGCAGGAGGCGACCAATTGATGTTCTCTCTCATGGATGTTTTTCTCCCTCCCTATCCCTTCCTCTTTCTTTAAAATCAACACAGAAAAAAAATTTAAAAATTAAAGTTAAAAATATACATATATATATATATGTGTGTGTGTGTATATATATTTCTGTCCTAGCCAGTTTAGTTCAGCGTTTAGAGCATTGACCCATGGACCAAAGAGTTGTAGGTTCAATTCCGGTCAAAGGCATGTACCTCAGTTGCAGTTCGTTCTGGGCCCTGGTCGAGGTTGTGCAGTAGGTAACCAATTGATGTTTCTCTCTCTCTTCCTCCCTCCCTCCCACTCTATCTGAGGATAAATGGAATATCCTTGGGTGAGGATTAAAAAAAAAGAATAAAACTATAATTTTCTTGCAACAGAGTAATTTTCAGGTGTCACATCAAAGTTCCAACCTCCCTGATACCACACCTTCATCTCCTTGGAGATGGGTGGTTCCCAATCTTCTCAGGCATTGAAATTACACAAGCTACCTATTTAGGGCATTTTGCTTCCATTTATACGTCTAATCGTTACTAGCTCCATTCCAATACGGAAATCTTACTTCCAGGTCCTGATAGGTACTACAGTTGTGAGACAAGCAGAAAAGTGATCAAAGATGTGGGATTTTCAGCCCTAGAGGGTTTTGCTCAGTGGTTAGAGTGTTGGCCTGAGGACCAGAGTTGGTCATGGGCACGTCTCAGTTGTGGTTTGTCCCCAGCCCTGTTTGGGGTCGCATGGGAGGCAACCAATCAACGTGTCCCTCTCACGTCGATGCCCCCCCTTCTCTGAAGACAGAAAAATATCCTTGAGGATTTTTAAAAAGTAGAATTTTCATACCTACATTCTGAAAAACATGCCTAGGTCTAGACAATTGCAAGTAACAAAGTTTTCTATACCTTAGATCTGAAGACAGTCCAACTTGTCACCTTTGTTTTCTCAAAAAAGGAAAATGTAACTAATTGTAAAGGGCGAAGCCTGGGTTTATCTTTTCAGAATTTTAGTCTACCTGAGGGATATCACACCGACTTTTTCTCATTTTAACCAGGCTCACAAAGATAATTCAGAGGCAAATTTAGACATTACCTAATAAGCTCTAGTTTTAAGGACTGGACACAATGAACAGAATACCTTGTACTATTGACACACAGCACTGTGGAGACCATCCTATACATTGTTTGGTATGTGCCTAAAGCATAAGGTGGAACATGGCTTTGGAGAATGAACTGGGCTGTGAACCGGTTTGTAAGAACTAGAACAGGGCAATACCTTCCCCATTGACTTGTATCTGTAAAGCATCTATCAAAGTACACAGAATGTAATAGTTTTCAGTAAGAATACTTTTACCTCTTAACCAGTCACCCAATTTAAAAAGAGAGGCACTAAAACTGGTAGCCCAAGTTGCTCTATCCCATCAAACGACTGAGAAACCATGCCTAGTAACTTCAAGTTACAAATGGAGATTCTTTTTTCGGTATTGTTAATCTTTACCCAAGGCTACTTTTTTTCCCATTGATTTTCAGAGTGGAAGGAAAGGAGAAACATTGATGAGATAATGGATTGGTTCCTCTTGCATAAACCCCACCAGGTAGTAGGTACTGCCCTTGACTGGAATCTGGCCTGTGGACAAAAGGGTTGCAGGTTCATGCTCTCACCACAAAACAGGACAAATGGAGATTCTTAGTAGAAAGTTAACTGACTTATGGAACCACATATATTCTTGCTATATATCACCCCCACCTTAGCTAGGTCCAAGTTCAGGGGAAAATGCTGTTAAACATTTGCTAAAATTGTGAGATAGCTGACCAATACATACATAACTTGCTCAGAGATGACATCCACTATACTGCAGAATTTTACAGATTAAGCATAGATCTCAGAAGAGAGGAATGGGGCAGTTTGGGCTTTTACAACTTGGATTTTCTCTGGCCAGGAGAGCTAGAAAAAGGGTTATGTTCAAGTGGAACAACAGTTAACTTTATTTCTAACAGGGTCAAGACTAAGCCCCACAAGAGCCCAGCTTCTCAAAGGGCACAGTATAAGTTTACTATATTGTGAAAGGAGAAAAGAAATAGAAACAAGTTAAAAGCATTTTATTTAAAAAGTACATTCATAAAACTGAATGATTAATTCAAGCTGCAGCACAGCTATAATGAAAACTGCACGGCAGTGAAAATGAAGTAGTGGCTCAGATAAAGGTTGTCCTCATAAGGATGTTCCTACAAAGAAAAAAAAAGATTATGAAATATTGACACAAGCAGGTGAAAGAATTCTTCCCCTTCTCTTTACTGGGAGTCCAAATTGCTTTTTTAACTGATTTCTATTAAAGTAGATTATGAAGTCATTTTGGTTGAGGCAAAGACTCCTCTTTGGCAATACCAAGCCCTTTTGCTAATCATTATTTTTAAAGACTTACCTTTTAGCCATGAACTTGGACAGATGAGTTTCTGTTTTTTTTTTAAGACAGTTGATAGATAGCCTTTAGTAGTAGACTCCTCCCTAGAAAAGCAAACAACCTTTAAAACTAGCTTTTCCCCAAGACCAAGTCCCAATCTCAGGCTAAACCTCCCACTCCCCCCCACATTAATGGTCCACCCACCCTCCCCCGCCATCATTTTGGGGCAGATTCTAATGCATTACTTTGAGCCATTGTTTTAAGGAAATGGGTCAAAGGAAGGTAGGAAACAAATCAAAATTAAAGGGCTAAATTTATTAGTTACAGTCGAGACAGTTAAAGTGCTCATTTCCTTCAATTGATATGCACCAAAACTAGGGTGTTAATTTAAAACAATCCATCTCCAGAAAAAACAAGTTCAGCTTTACTGGACTAGTTTTGGCTCAATATTATAAGGAGAAAATGTAACAGAAAACTGGATTTTAGATAACTATATGGATGTAAGTAAAATCTGTTCTTACCTACCAGCATAGCAATAAAACCTTTCCTCCTCCTGGTTCTGACCGCTAGTCCTAAGAGTCAGGTGTGCCTTACTTTTGTCTGCCTCCTTCCTTGCGATGGTCACTGAAACTTCACTCCCTCCTAGCTTTCATGGAGCGTGCCGTGGCCTGCCCCTGGCTTATCTGTACTCCACATACCACAAGTGTCTACTCTCAGCTGTAGAGTGTCTGAGCTCGGAGCCATTCGCGCTATACTTGCTAGCAGTTCCTAGTAGCTGAACATCTCTCCTGGATCTTTAAAGGCATTGTCAGGAATCCTGAGGTATCTGCAAACTCCCTCAATAGTTAAGGTTCCACCTGCCATTGCAAACTCAGCCAGTATCAAAAACCCATGGCACTGTATCATCATCCATCCATGCTTTCCCACCCACCTCCACCTCCCCCCACACCCTCCCAACTTCCAAGTTAACACACCCAAGGGATGAAATACAGTCCTAGTGATAAACAAATCTCTATGCTACTAGGTAGGTACAATGGCACTGAAATTGAAGGTATCAAAAGGGCTCAAAAGAACCTATATACAAATAACAATGACTGGATATTAAGGAACTGTTAAAAGATTTAGAAATCATTTTCTATACAATTAACATTTTAGAATGGTTGTGTGATCTTGTGCCACGTTTAAAGGAAAACTGCAGTTACCATTTATTTGTAAGCAGTATGGTTCCTCAACATCTCCGTAATTTCCATCTCCAAACAGGCAACTATTGTTGATTAAAATCTATAAACCTCTAAAGACCCACCCAACCAGAACAAAGTAAACTGCAGTTTTCCTTTAATGTAAGCCTGGTTTGGTGTAGGGTCATGAAATTCTTACTGTTGCTGGTCAGTTTAAAAATGTCTCCCAAATACTTCTAATCTGTGGACTTTGGGGGATGGCACTAGCCAGCAGCTGGTTTCTATTCTCTGGCAAAGTTTTGAACTTGAATTGTGATAGAAGCAATCAACATTATCAAGGGTAGTGGGTAGGGAAAGTCCAAAGCTCTGCCAGTCCCAAATCCATACAGTTGTCATTCCATTCAAGAGGATATTAAATCGTTTATTGAGTACACATGATAATGGATGATACACAATCTTCATACCCATCTATAATTTTATCTGGTACCATAATTCAATTTAGATATATTGCATAGGATGTGCCAACAATCATTAATAACCAAATAAACTCCATGACTCTGCTTGGGTGACCCTTTTAATGGTGAACTCCAGGTCACAACACAGTAACTATCAATCCAACTATACCAAAGTTTCTGAAGACAATGGCTTCTGTGCCCAAGCAGGTTGTAAATAAATTTCAAATGGAACCTGGCATCACCCTGAAGGAATTCTAACTTCACACTGTTGGGGTAATTTACCAAGATGGCTTCAGAGCAGACTAACTTTACACAGCACATTTAAAAAAAGACACATTTATTCAGCGTCATGATCAGACTATTACATTTAGCAATCAACAGCATGGGTGCAAAAAAAAAAAAAAATCTACATTAAAACCCTTTGTTGGAATGCTTTACACTTTCCACAGAACAGAAACTAAAATAACCTGTTATACAATTAGTCACAAATACAGTCCTCGAGTTTTTTTTGCCCATTCACATGAGTATTGTCTAAAACATGTCTTCTTTGTAGCAGCTAGGCCCTGCCACCACTGTGCTTGGCTGAGTTCACAAATCTGTTGTAACCTGTAGCTTCCCTGTCACTTCTCTGGCTCTCCTCTCCTGCTAAGCTTTGTTTCCTGTTGAACAATATGGAATAAAGTTGTTAATCTAAACATATTAAGACTTAAGGCTACAATCCAATAGCAAGTTTTTGTTTCCCACAAATTTTGCTGATCTGAATATTAACTTAATATCCACAATTTTACTGAAGTTATAATGTTAACTATGTTGCACTGCTTGACTACATTAGGGTTACTAGGTTCATTATCAATTTTAAAAATTAAGCCAGAACACACACCAAAAAAGGTGCTTACTTACCTGGCAATAATTAAAACCTTCTGCCACTGCCGTAGCTGCTGCTGCTGCTGGAACCGCCATAGCCACCTAAGAATAAGAGTTATTCCTTTAAACTTTTGGAAACACCAAAAGTAACACTTTTATATTTGAGACAATAAAGTTCAAATCTGAGTTTAAGCTCAGACTATGTTAGCAATTTGATTGCAAATGTAGCAATTATAAATATATTTAATCCTCTAATACACACATACACGTACCATACCTTGGTTTCGCGGTTTGGCAAAGTATTGGCCTCCACCACCATAGGGGCCAGAGCTTCTGCCTCCAAAGTTCCCTCCTTTCATGGGTCCAAAATTTGAAGATTGATTATTGTAATTGCCAAAATCATTGTAGCTTCCGCCACCTCCAAAATTGCTTCCTAGGAAAGGAAAGAGGGCATTTATCTGTGACTTGAGAAAGACGATCATTTAAAAATCTAGCATTTAGAGTGGGGAAAAACAAACAAACACACGACCTGCCTTCCTCCCAAACTGATGGCTCCAATGTTTATCTCTGCATTTAATCTGTTCTGGACAAGGCATTCAGTTGAATAATCCAGGATTTAACTCACCATGACAACACAGGTATTCTCTAGCCTTGAAGGCTTTATCCACCCAGGAGCACTGCAAACACATTCTGGATACATCAACTAAGTGCCTATGGTCCCAAAGAAGACACTAAATCCTACTAGAGCTAATCTAGTTCCAGTTGAAGACTCCACTATCAACTTATTCAACTATTTGGGAGTGAGGCGGCCCCAGCTTTAAGCTGGGAGGTAGCATAGTAAGCCCATTTGAAAGTACCATGCAGTGTACCACATAATGCTTTAAGAGCAACTAATCCCCACATGGGCATAAATTCTACAAGGCTAATCTAGCTACTGCACCAAGTACCTGGATCACTGGATACCTACCACTACCACCGCCAAAGCCGCCTCCGCCTCCTCCGTTGTTATAGCTGTCATAGCTGCCACTCCCGCCATAGCCACTGCCCTGGTTTCCATAACCCTGTCCACCACTTCCATAGCCTCTGCTTCCTCCAGAGTAACCAGGGCCGCCTCCTCCATAACCACCTACAAGAATACAATTCTTCTCAATAAGACAAAAGTATTCAACAGTCAAAATCTGTTTAAGCATAATGGGGAACGGCCTGCTTTCATCATGCTGTTGTTATGGCCAGTTTAGCTTGGCATGCACTAGATGCACTCAAGTTTAGTCTCTACCAACCTATTCTATAGGTCGCCAAAAAACTTTTTACCTGTTTACTTCATATAAAAGGAGAAACACAAACCACAAAACTCACCATCATTACCAAATCCATTATAGCCATCCCCACTGCCACCATATCCACCACCACCACGGCTGCCACCAAAGCCACCTGGAAGAAAGCAGAATTTTAAAGGTTTGAAGTACATAAATTGCATACAAATCACAGCCCTGTTAAGTACCAATTTTAGGATCTCTCTCGCCTACCCCCACATTCCCTTAAAGAAAAAAAATCAATGGAGAAAAAATACCCTTGGGTGAAGATTAACAATAGTTCCGGCACTATAAATATTATTTCCATACCTAAGATTTTAACTTATGGTTAGTGAGAAGCCAGAACTACATGTGGATAAAATGTAACTTCGGAACTTTGTGGCAGTAGTTACAATACTGCCACAGATTGCACAAAAGACAAGTCATCAAGCTAATTAAATCACAGGCTTACTATTAATTAGTAGTATCAAAAATTACAATCAAATATACCTCGACCACTGAAGTTTCCTCCACGACCAAAGTTGTCATTCCCACCAAAACCACCTCCACGACCACCTCCAAAGTTTCCAGAACCACTTCGACCTTAAGAAAAGAAGTTTTTTAAAGTGTTAAACCATACAAATTAGAATTAGTCTTGTAGGCTTAAAAAAAACGCAACAAACCCACCTCGTTGGCTGGACGAAGCACTAGCCATCTCTTGCTTAGATAGGGCTTTCCTTACTTCACAGTTGTGTCCATTCACAGTATGGTATTTCTGAACTAAAAAATTTCAAAGATAAAAAAACAAACACAGTATCTCAGGGTTTGGAATACAACTTGAATTTTAGAACTCTTAGCACATTTGTCATCTGATACTCACTGACAATCTTGTCTACAGAGTCATGGTCATCAAAGGTCACAAAAGCAAAGCCTCTCTTTTTGCCACTGCCTCGGTCAGTCATGATTTCAATCACTTCGATTTTCCCATACTGTTCAAAATAATCTCTTAGGTGATGTTCTTCAGTGTCTTCTTTAATACCACCAACAAAAATCTTTTTCACAGTTAAGTGGGCACCAGGTCTTTGAGAATCCTAAGAGAAAAACACAAAAAACTAAATTTTTTATACTAGCAAAATCTAGCCCAAAATTGAGATTGAAGTTTGTTAAGAACCTCAATCTTAAGCCCACCTGTTCACACACTTCCAAGTGGCTACTGGAAAGAATAAACCATCACTTACTTCTCTTGAGACAGCCCTCTTTGGTTCCACAACTCTTCCATCCACCTTGTGTGGCCTTGCATTCATGGCTGCATCCACCTCTTCCACAGTGGCATATGTGACAAACCCAAAGCCTCTGGAGCGCTTGGTGTTTGGATCTCTCATCACCTGAGATGTAATTCATTTAATACATAGTAAGATCCCCCAAACCACGGTCTCTTCCACCTTAAATAAGTTAACAGGAAACTTCACACTAGCTTTAACACAAAGTCCTTTTTTCCTATTACCCGTCTAGTGTAAAATCTATTAAGGAGCTTTTTAATCACTTAAATCCACACCATCCCTTGCCAAGTTATTTCCAGCTATAACCCTGGTGCTTACCTAAGTATTCAACAAGAACTACAGCAAGACAAGCCAAGTAAATCAGCTAGTTCTATTGCCCTTTTGTCTCTTCCCAGGCTTACCACACAGTCTGTGAGCGTTCCCCATTGCTCAAAATGGCTCCTCAGACTCTCATCGGTTGTTTCAAAGCTCAAACCTCCGATAAAGAGCTTCCGCAGCTGTTCCGGCTCTTTGGGAGACTATGAATAGGGGGAGGAGGAATGGGTTAAGTGGGACTACAACGTAAAACACCTTTCACTTAAGAGAAGCAAAACTAGACAAGAACACTCGTAGCACTCATTGTTCCTTTGGGTCACTGCAAGCCATGTGCTTGTCCCCATTGGGGATACGGCACGCTGGGGGCTGAAAAACCGCGGGCGCATGCGTCCCTACTCTCTCCGACGCACGCGCAACAAAAGGTCTGAGCGGGAGGGGCTCCGCCAATAAGAAACTATAGCTGGTTTATAAAAAGCTCGCCTGAAACAAGGGGGAAAAAATCGACTTAACTTGCCTAAGAGTTTTACTGGGAGGAACGAGCAACGTGATAACTAAGGGTTGCAGAACCGCGGCCTCATGGCCACGACGAGGACAAAATGGCGACCTGAAGTTCGAGATGGGTAGGCCCTGAACACGACCAAAGAACTGCCGAATGTGCGGGTACAAGCGGCCAACCCAAACTGCATCCCCTCGAGGAAAGAAAGAAGCGGAGAAGAAAATAAAGTTGGAAAGAGTGTCTTACCCACCTCTGACTTAGACATGACGACTGCAGGACGGGAGACTTCAAAGATGCTCACTCGGCGACGTCCACCGGCAGAAAGGAGTGATCTAATGAACGTATCTGCCAGCCTACCTTCGGCCTCTCATTTTTATCCCGCCTCCTCCCTTGCGGCATTGGTAGACTCCGCCTCTAAGTAGCTCTGATTGGATATTTAAAATGGTTTCCCGCTACTATTGGTCTGTGGGGTCGCATTGATGTTGAACGTCATCCGTTTGGGCGTTCTACGCAATGCCAACCCCTCGAAGCCCATTGGTTTCCGAGTAATATTATTCTTAACTTGTCTGATTGGCTAGCCAACCAATCATTCATGTTTGAATGTACCTAGGGTATTTAAATAACTTTTTAGTCCTCCACGCCTCGAATATTACATTCTACTCAGTTGTCAGAGCATGATTAATACTATGTATCAAAAAACAATGTGACAATTTTATTTTTTGCAACAACCGCCTATTGAACTCCTGTGTAGTAAAATGGCGAGTTTACGCAGGCGCATTAAGAAGTTCCGCCTGGCTCAAGGAACACGTGAAATGGCGGGCGGGAGACGGCGGCGAACCTACAGCGCCTGCGTAGTGGCGGGAGTTGTGCCCCGTTTTGCGCAGGCGTAATGGGCGGAGAAAAGGTCTGGTCTCAGGATTGGTAGCGCAGGCGCAGGGAAGGATCTGTTTTGGCGGGCGGTTGGCGTTGCGCAGAAGACGGCAGCAGCGGCGGCTTGTGGTCCGACCTCATCACAGAGGAACAGGGAAGACATTAACGTGAGTGATCGGTTTCGATCCCGGGTAAGTAGCGGACAATCTTCCCTACCTGTACAAGGTCTTGAACCGACTCCAGTTGGACCCGTTATTGTGTGAAATGAATGGACCGCGGGGGTGGGGGCTAGTGAAGGGGGAGCGGTGGGTTCGACCAACCAATAGAAGAACGGGGGCGGATGTTTTGTCGTCTTAGTTTCTGCGGGGCTTTACCCCGAAGAGTTTGATTGGCAAGTGTACAGGCCAATTGGGTCTGTCTTTAGCTGCCGACTGATCAGTCCTTGGGCCATCGGAATGTGGGAGGCGGGTTTTCTCCTCCTGAGTAGCGTCTCATTGAGCCAATGAACGAGAAGCGCGCGGTAGGTTGGGCTCCTCCCAGAGGCAGCGGTTTGACTCCAATGGGAATGAAGGAGTCCGGCGATTAAATGGATGGACCAAATCTGTAGCCAGTGGGACAACAACGCGGCACTCCTCCGCGTCGTCCACTCAGCACTCCAAAAGACAGAGGTCTTAGATTTGGGATGGTGAGGAAGGGTATTCAATGCCTGTGATGACGCATCGGGCTGGATATTTTGTCCACGATGACTTTTTTAACGAAGCCTTTAGGCCTCCATCCTATAAACCTCCCTAGTAGGGAAACTGTACATTTGCTCCTGTATATCTCGAGTTTGCTATTTCCCCCTCACATCTGTATATCCCACCATCCACCGTAGGTTTTGGGGGGAGCAAGGGAACTCGACTTTGAAAACTAGCTGTTTAGGAAACTGACTTATGTTAGAACGAATGGCATAGATTTGTATGTACTGTCGTGGAAAGGCATCCAAGAAAAATCTACATACTGCATATTTCCACGGAGAACTCGGTATTTGTAAATAGAGAAAGTTCTAGAAAGCTACGGTGGGATGGAGGCAGATTGGATCTAGAATGTTTAAATCTTAATAATTTGTGATTAAAATATGGTCAGCGGTTTTTTGTGTTTTCATTCATAATCACTTAACACCATTCTTTACACCTCAAAAGAGTTCTGTTTTTCCCTTAGGAACTAGGGTGATCCTCAGTTTAAAAGGATAAGTAAAAAAGTATTTAGTACCTACTAGGCATCATACTAAGTGCTTTACAAGAATTATCCATGTTCCCAATACCTTTTTAGAGTCTTCTTTGAGGGATTTTCCCTACCATATGTCTCTTTCTTTACACCATTAAAGAGTTTCTAATCCCCTCTTTTTGCTATTTCTCTGAGCATGTCTGAATTTGGATAAGAAGGAAGCTGCTTGAGGAGAGTGATATTTAGGGTGTTGATGGCAGAAGGGCTTATCCATCCCCTGGATTCTTCTGTTGCCTTTTATATTTATTTCAAAGTGTTTATTTTACATTCAGTCCATCTTTCGTTGGTAATGCCTGTTCTTATTCCAAGATTTTTAGTAAAATACAGAAATTTTCATTACATTTTGGCTAAATCAAAATATATACTGCTCTCTCTATTCACTAATTTATTCAGGGTCAAGGGGAAAATGTTAAATACTGTAATAAGCAGCTACATATGAAGTACCCTAATGATTAGAGACCTTTCTATAAAAGAGAGATGATTTCAGTTGAGCTTAGAGTGTACAGAGGAGGGATTTTCATGTTCTCTGGCCTTTCAAAAGGACAGACCTATTTCATATTTGATTATAAACTATTTGTAGGAATGCTAACAACACAGCTGCTTAGCTTATAAAAACTAAAGAGATATAGTTAAGAGTATCTGTCCCTAATTTAGGTTTGAAAAGATTACAGTCTTGGTCTATAGGGTTTCTCACCCTCAGTACTATTGACATTTCTGGTGGGATGAATGCATCTCACCTCTCTCTAACCATTTTTGTGACAAGCAAAGTGTCTCCAGACATTGCCAGATGTCATGGGGGTTTAGAAGCAAAATCTCTACCAGTTGAAAACCACTGATCTGAAATGACAGATGCACCCTGGATGGTTTGGCTCAGCGATTAGAGCGTCGGCCTGCGGTCCAGAGAGACCCAGGTTCGATTCCTGCTAAGGGCATGTACCTTGGTTGCAGTTTGTCCCTGGCCCTGGTTGGTCGTGCTAGAGGCAGCCACTTGATGTGTCCATTTCACGTTGATGTTTCTCTCTCTCCCTCCAACTCTATATGAACAAAAAAATGGAAAAATGTCCTCGGGTCTCGGGTGAGGATAAATAAATAAAAATAAATAAAATGACAGATGCTAGCCCTGGCCCGTGTGGCTCAGTTGGTTGATCATCCCTCCGTGCACTGAAGGGTGACCAGTTTGATTCCTGGTCAGGACACATACCCAGGTTTCAGGTTCTATCCCTGGCGGGGCGAGTATAGGAGGCAGCTGATAGGTGTTTCTCACTTTGGTGTTTCTCTCCCTCTCCCTTCCTCTCTCTCTAAAATCAATAAAAACATATCATCAGGCGAGGATTAAAAATAAATAAATAAGTCTCTCTCTTCCTCCCCTACTCCCCTTCCCCTAGCCCCTCCCCCCTTTCTCCAGGCACAAAAAAAAAATAAAAAATAAATAAATAAGATAAAATGACAGATGCTTGAATTGATTTTCTTGTCAAAATCTTTTACCAATTTGAAATTTGAGGAAGAAGGTGGGTAAAGTGTTTAGAAGGTAGCCTTTGGTAAATGGATCACTAAATCCTGATGATTATCTCTTTAGATACAGAGTGATTATTGTTCCATTGAACAAAAGGAAAATTTCATTAAGTTTTTTTTTTCTTTTTTTATCCTCACCCGAGGACATTTTTCCTTTTTTTTGTTTTGTTTTGTTTTGTTTTGTTTTGTGCAGATAGAGCGGGAGGGAGAGAGAGGAAGAGAGAGAGAGAGAGAGAAACATCGATGTGAAGGGACACATCGAGTGGCTGCCACCTGCACGACCAACCAGGGCCGGGGACAAACTGCAACCGAGGTACATGCCCTTAGCGGGAACCGAACCTGGGTCTCTCAGGACCGCAGGCCGACGCTCTAACCGCTGAGCCAAACCGGCCAGGGCTCATTAAGTTTTTTACCATTGATTGTATCTTATGTTTGGCCTCCAAAAATAATGGCAATTGTGTTTTCTAATAAGGTAGACTTGCTTCTTGCTGTTTACCTGAGTTAAGCCTCTTTACTGGGATTCTTTTGGATCAATGTCTCAAACATTTTTTTATCCTCACTCAGGGATATTTTTCCATTTGTTTTTAGATAGAGTAGAAGGGAGGGAGGGAGAAAGAGAGAAACATTGATACGAGAGAGACACATTGGTTGGTTGCCTCACTTAGGACCCCGACTGGGGCCAGGGGTCGAACCTGCAACTTAGGCACATGACCTTGACTGGGAATCGAACTCGTTACCCTTTGGTCAGTGGGTCGACGCTCTAACTGCTGAGCCAAATGAGCCAGAGCTCAAACTTTTTTTGACCTTGATCTTCAGTAAGAAACTTTTTTATATGTGCCCCTGGTGACACCGAACCCGGGATTCTCTGGTCCGCAGGCCGACACTCCAATCACTGAGCCAAACCAGCCAGGTCAAGAAACACATTTTATTCTGACCCTGTGCACACAGTGAAACAAGTTTCACTGTACAAATAAATGTGCAAAGCACTCTGGCGGTTTTTTGCATCTATAGTACACTATTACATTTTCTTAAAAACATAGGTCATTTTCTACTGAACTGATTTCACAGCTGTGTACAGACCCACAGTTTAAAGAAAAAAGAAAAACAACTTATCTGTAGAATAGGTAACCAAGTGATGCCACCTTAAATTACTCTCTGAGTGGATTCCTCCCATCTCTACCTACTTAGATTTGTAAACAAATAAATTAGTGACTCTTTATTTGATTTTTTTAATATATTTTAATTTGAAAGATTTCAGGATTTTAACGTAGTCTTTTGGTTTACTGAGGTATACAAGTAAAAATTGCTTGTTTTATTGTGAATTCTTTTACAGTGCCATAGTTAATAGGTCTGATGAACATTTCTCTGGTGGGGACATTTTAGTGGGTCGTTTTTCATTGAAGTTCTGAGAATATCACATTGAAAATTCAGACTTTAGACTATTTTCTTGCCTTTTAAAAAAATACTGATTTTTTTTTTCTTTTTGAGAGAGAGAGAGGAAGGGGGAGAGAGAAACATCAGTTTGTTTTTCCACTCATTTATACATTCGTTGGTTGATGCTTGTATGTGCCCTGACCAGGGATCAAACCCAAAACCTTGGTAAGTTGGAACAACACTCTTAACCAACTGAGCTACCAGACCAGAGCTTTTTTCTTGCCTTTGGAGTACCTGGCTTGGTTGTT